TAGCGAAAAGCAAGTTGCTTTAATCTAACAAAACAAAATGCAAGTCAAATACATACTCATTCATAATTTAGAAAAATAGAAGAATAGTACTGGTCCAACACGGCAGCTCCAGAAGTTGGGCAACTCGAAAGAACAAGGAAGGTCCAGTGTTTTGGATTTATGCAGAAAATTAGGAGTCAATTTTTTGAAGACTAAGTGCACGACTTTGGCCATGTCTTAGTCTCTTCCAAGCATCTATGCTCAAAACCATTTACACCTACCCAAATTGTTCATGTTTGATTTTTATCTCAACTACAGGTGGTTTAGATTTTTTTTCTTATTAATTTTATTTTATGACACACAAATTGACAAGAAAAATTAATGAGTAGAAGTAGTACACTATCCAAAAATTAATTGTAAGCTTCAAAATTTTGTTGAATTTTTTCATTTAAACATGACTCTACTTCTCTGCCACATTAAAGAGAAAATATACATTACAACGGTGATATCACGTGGCAAGGTGATGTGGTATAACTAGCCAATAATAATAAAACAAATAAACAGATAGATCCTACAAAAATCAATAACTAANTTCACGTGGCAAGATGATGTGGTATAACTAGCCAATAATAATGAAACAAATAAACAGATAGACCCTTCAAAAATCAATAACTAACCTATAATATAGGAAAATAACTTCTCACTCTTCTGTCATATAAGTTCAAATGGGGTTCACCTTTATCATTTGGAGTTTTATTATTTCCTGCAAATAATTCTCAATGGTCTCTATATATGAAGGACACTAATGGGTGGATTTCCCAGTCTACACCTCAGAATACAAAAAAAAAATGGAGTGTAGAAAGTTTGATCTCAAACTTATATCAGCTACTAATCTGAGAGACGTACGTGAGAAATTTAGGATGAAGGTTTATGCAGTGGTTACTATTGCAGGCAAAGCAAAAACAGAGAGACGAACTCCGGTAGATAAGGAAGGCGAGACCAATCCTACTTGGAACTTCACGTTGCAATACATGATCGGTGAGTTGGCTGTGCAAAACGAAGGGATTGAGNGTCACGTTGCAATACATGATTGGTGAGTTGGCTGTGCAAAACGAAGGGATTGAGGTGGTGATCACCTTATACTGCAAGCGAACCCTAGGGGATCGATATATAGGAGAGGTGCGTACATCCATTAAACAACTCTATGAGCAGCATCCAAATGTCAATGGAGGAGGCGCTAATATATTGACACGTCAAGTGCAAAGTAGCAGTGGAATTTCTCAGGGAGAGCTGAAATTTTCATTTGGTTTTGGAGAGACAGTTATCATCTAACGACCCTCAATGCGGAGGAAAATGTTAAAGGCTGGAGCAGTGCGTTTACTATACTTGACGATTTCATCAGTCCTTGGCCATGTTATTCTAATACCATTGTTTATGCATGCTGGTATAGGTGTTGATTTTATGTTAGGAAATTGAGTACTCCATATTTCAGGGTGGTCCAATCTACAAGAGGCCAAACCAAATGCAGTTTTATTTCATCTACATGTTTTTCTGCTGCAACTCCAAAATTCTCTCTTCACAGGATAGAACAGAGGATTGAGAAGGCACTCCCTGTACCAGAGTTTGTGTGTTAGCTCTGCTAACACGAACAACCAAGTCTAAAGATCTCTCTCTCTCTCCTGGGAAGTAGACTTATTTTTAGAGTTTTATCATATAGTTAAAGTGTCTTACTAAGGTATGTTATTAGTCTGGTGGGTGAGTAATTTGTATAATATAGTGTTATTTGTAGCAAATAAAGAAGAAAGTGGCGTGCTGATGTTATAATCGTTATACAACGAGTTAGTGGAGGAAGTGATGTGTTTATAATCAACTTGAATAAAAATTTATTTTAGTTTGAGTTTTCATTTTTTTTTTCCTCTACTCCAATTGTATTAATTGTTTTCTTGATTTCAACAAAGTGATATCAAGGTCATTACTGTAATTCTATATATCTATTCACTCTTTAGCCCCCACCTCCACCTCCACCACCACCACCACAACACCAACCCTCTTCTTTCCACTTCCTCTTTCTGTGTGTCTGTTTGTTTGTTGCCTTAGTTACCAAATTATAAATAATTGCTATTTGGTTTTTGCTACAACAATAAACTTAAATTTTTTTTTGCAGAAAAGCTGTTAATTCTATATCTTATCATGTCAATGATAGCGTCAAGTTATCCCATTTATTCATGGTTGATGATAATTGTTTCAGTTACTTATAATTATTTTATTTGTTTCTATGTTGTGCGAGTTAGGCACCTTGATCTATTCATTGAAAGAAAGCCTTCCCTTCCAAAACTTAGTTTCTGAAATTGGTTTGAGATATGGCGTTTTTTTTTAACATGTAATGAAAATATCATAACAAGTTTTTTTAACCAAATAAATATTTTTGATTATCTACACTTTTAATATATTTACTTGAAAATTATTGTAAAATTTGATGGAATACTAATGGATGTTGAGAGGGATAAATTTCTCATCAAGTTAGATTTGACACTCTTGAATGAGTTTTTGAAAAAAAAAATGCCCAAGAGTTAGGCATTTGTTCATTTTTTGAGATGTAAATATACTAAAGCTCTATTTGGTGGGAAAGATGAAAAGTATGAAGGATGAAAAATAGAAGAGATACATTTTCAATCCTTCAAGGATGAAAAGTAGGAATGATACATTTTCCTTCCTTTTTGTTTGGTTGGATGAATAGAAAATAAAAATGACTAATTTTGTTTTTAATTTTTTTTTGCTGGCTAAGATTAAAGATGACAATCGAGTCGTGTCGTGTCAGACTCGTGTTGAGTCATAAAATTATGAGTTTTTTATATTTTTTGTTCACGTGTCAGGTTATTTTCAAGTTCGTGTCGAGTTATAATCAAGTTCGAGTCGTGTCATCGTGTTAAGTCAAAAAATTTTCCCATAGTTAAGATGAAAGGAATATATACTTTTTAATTTAAAATTTTTATTTTATTTATATTTTTTATTTTTAAATTTAAATTTAATTTATATATATATATATATATATATATATATAAATACATATTTTATCATTGTATTTTTATATGAATTTAATGTATACATAATAAATGTATATATCAAAAGATATATAGACAAATAAGATACATTTCAACACAAATAATTAACTATTCGTCCATTTTCTTTCTGATTTTGGAGGGATTGAATTTGATGAGTTGAAAGGAAAGTTAATTAATCCACTTTTTCATCCTTCTTATTTTTTTTCCTTACCAAACATGATTTTTTTTACCCCTTCAACTTTCCATCATTCCAAATTTTCATTCTTCCATTTTTCCATCATACCAAACGGAGCATAACTAAATTTGCATATTCAAGTTTTGTGCATAAAAATTATAGTAGGGGAAGTTGAATTTGGATTAAAATGTAATTAAGCTTCTCATTAATTAAAAATATGGAGAAAGTAAATTAAATTTTTTTTTTCATTGCTAAAATGATTAATTTCGGAATGAAAGTAAGTAGGGATTTGTGTATGATGTCCTGTGATAAATAAGGCGTGGTTGAAGATGGTCAATAAATGAAGTCTTGTTTACAAAAACCAAAAAATAAAAAATAGCAGGACCAAAAATTAGGTTCAAATTGGCGCCCTAATGTTTTTAAACAATCCTAAAAAGTTCCCAAATGTTAATTTTCATTTGGGAGGCCTAGGATGCTAACTTAGTGGCCTATGTCTAGGGCATATATTTATGTAAATCATGGGGAGAATTTTAATTGCACTCTATGTATATAGGCATATCCTTATAAACACAAATCACATTATTTGACACTTACGTGAGAAAAACATTTTCAATAGACTTTCTATTCTCACTCAATTCTCTATTTTAGAGAATCAACAACAAAAAATAATCTCCAATAGGCATTCTATTTAGACTAGCTATAATAGAGAGCCTGGTTTGCCTCTCCACATTTGGAGAGTCCATCCCACTCTATTCTATTTCTAAATAGCATCCCTACATAGTGCTATCTATTTAAATAATATTTTTTTATAATAAAGAAAATTTTTTAGAAAAAATTAAAATAGTGAATGAATTTTTTTTT